GTTTAGGGTTTAGGCTTTAGGGCTGGTGAGGGGTGGGAGTATTGGGTGTTAGAACTGCGACAGGCCGTAGGGTTGTAGGGTTTGGGTTGACAGGGTTTAGGGCGGCAGGGCTGACTGGTTTTATTGTGGTTTATCCTTGTTTGCATCTGTTCGGGCTGCGTACGGCTCTATAGGTCTTCACAAGGTCTTATCCGGCTTTTTGGGGCCTTCGGGTGCTTTACAAAGTTTAACGAGCTTTTCAGGCTTTATTGGGTCCACTGCGTTCTATGATTGCTCAAGCGCCTTAGAACCATAACAAGTTCTTAGTTTAAACTAACTCGAAGTATTATACTCAAAAACCATTCCCAAGAACACTGAAGTAGGGAGCCCAACAGCTATAGCCAGGGCACTTGCGACAGATGGCCAGACAGCTGCAGCGGTGTGGCCACAGTTTCGCTCATCTCGGTGCCAGCGTGCGCGCTACCGCGCTGAGTCTTTCAGATGGAGCATGGCGGGTCTGCACTGATGCAGACCGGATCTGCTACATGGGAGGAGTGCTTACTTAAACGAGGTTATCTTTCAGGTGCCGAGTGCAGAAGGTTTCTGTAGTAAGTACCCCGAACGTCCAAATTCCGAAGAACTCCCTGTGGGCTTCTTGCATCCAGCGTCTCGTTCCGATCAGCACACTCGAAAAATTGTACTCCGGGCCGTAGCTGCTATTAGGCTACCGCACAAAGCAACCATGAACGGCATTCATTTGGCATTTCCCCCACATTCCCCCCGTGAGCCTGGACAGCAAAGCAGTGGACACCGATGGAAACACGTTCGCAGTCAGCTGCCAAAGAAAAGGTCGTTGTACAATCCCTACCACACAGAAGAGACATCACCCAAAAGATGTGCAGGCCTCTTACATTTCGGATTCTTGCTGGGTTGCCTTCCCGACAAAACCGGCCCATCGACAAAAGCCTGGAGCCTCTCTGCAGCATTCCCGCAGCATTTAGGGTGGGAGGGATCCCTCTACCGTGGGCAGAAGGAGCACCGGTAGACACTCCAGGGCTTCTGCGCTTCTGAAGAGCACCACGAACAGCACCTGAGCAACAAGGAAGATCTCAGAAATTCCCGGGACCCTACTACTCAGTGATTCCCGGGACCCAACTTTCGAACCGTACAGTACCCTTAAAGGCACCCTTAAGGAGCGCTTTTGGGTTCTATAGTAACTTAGGCAGCTGACTCCCTCCACAGGAACAGAGAAGGCTTCAGGCTGCCTCGTTGGCGGTCGAAGCGAGGTTTAGGGTTTAGGGTTCAGGGTTTAGGGCTTAGGGTTAGACCCTGCGCCCTAAACCCTAAGCTATACCCTACACCCTAAACCCTATGTAAACTATACCCTACACCCTCTACCCGAAACCCTCACACTCAGCGCCTTGTCTTCTGCGGCTGTGCCTCTTTGGCAGCAGTATTTTGAGGCGCAGACCATCTGGGAATTGCTGGGACAGCACACGATGCATTGTGCCTGCAGGTGTCTATAGGGTTTAAGGCTTCGGCTCAAGATTACGGGCTTAGGGCTTATGGCTTGTGGTTTAAGTGCTTATACAGGCTTGGGAACATTCGGCTTCCGGCCCAGATTAATGTTCCTCGTGCCCCGAGACACCGCCTGGCGCACGATGACGAGCTCCTCCTGCTTGAAACACCAGCTGGATCAAGACTTCGCCTCCTCCTTCTTCCTGGCGTGCTCAACTCACAGGATGAATTAGGGACTCCTCGCATCATATGAAGGCTCGATTTCGTGGCTTAGGAGTCGCTGGATGTTTGATGCACGTCCTTGCGTGCTCAACTCATACCATTATTACTTAAGGACTGTACCTCAAATACGAAGGCTCCTTAGAAAACACCGCAGGTGCATTCCTCAATGTCGGCCTTTTGGGAGTCTCTGCGCACTTGATGTGCGTCAGACATGGAATGACGACAGCCAGCATTACGACACTCATCTGACTCATTTTGAGTCAGCGGGTTCTAGCTCCGCAACCGTAACCGCAATGAAACCTAAGGCAAGAACACTAGAAACGCCGTGAAGCCCAGAACGCCCCTACTAAAGCAACGACCCTGAAAACCACTAAAGCCCCCTCAACCTGGCCTTTTCCTGCCTTTCGGCTTCTTGCCCTCCTTCGTTGCCCAATCCTGTCTCTTTAGGCAGGACTTGCCTGTTGTTTTTTCGTCAGGGGGAAGCGGTTGTAGGATTGTATACGGTAGAATTGGCCTAGATTTTGGCCATGATGCAAGCATACGAGTGCAAGGAGATGCAACAACACCTCTCAATGTGAAATGCTTCGGAGGCACAAAAGAGTCCTTAAAACGTCAAGGCTATCCCTCCATCTTTCATTTTAACACATCTATCCATGCAGGCCTTGTCTGTAGTATTATGGGCCGCGCTTGCAGGAGCAATCGCAGTCATTGTCAGGTCTTTGCGCATGACAATGCCAACGACAATGATAAGGACTCGGCTATGGGCAAATGTTGGTAAACATCGCTATGCTGTGGATGATGGTGGTGGTGATGACGAATATGCTGAACGTTTAGTGCTGATGATGTTGGTGATGATGGTCTGATGGTGGTCATGATGATAAGGAGGACTGTGGCGATTGAGTTGGAGTTTTGGGAATAGCAGTGAACATGGGCAGCGGTGAGAAATGACATCTTCGGCCGCTTCTGCCTTCCCTACCCGAAACCCATGACCCCAAACCCTACGCACTTCTGCATGCTCTGTCCTCGAACGCTTCTTTGGCCATGGACGTCAAGATCTCCGGCCTCATGCGGCTCGATGCATGTCAGCTGATAAGCACATCTCTGACCAACCTCTCCTACACCCGCCCCCCCTAAATCCCTGAACCCTAAAAACCCTGCGCCCTGTTCCCGCTCGGAACAGCTCTCGATTCCGATCCCTTTGAGCCCCTGACAAGCGCAACCAAAATTCTCCAACGTAAGCGAAAGCCCCACAACATCGCGTATTTTCGGGGCCGTATTCCCGTAGACCAGGAAGGAGCCGTATTCCCATAGACCAGCAAGGGCTCTTGCATCGCACTACTATGAGCGGAGTATTACTAATTACTTCGACCCGGCCCTCAGCACCTCCGGGACCTGAAGCTTGAATTGTTTTTTGGAGCCTCCCTCTCAAGAAGCAAGGAAGGTTTAAGGTTAATAAGGGTTTGGGGCATAGGGTTGAGGGCTGCTTGACGTTAAGCCACTACTTCAGGGGTCTGAATCATGAGGACCCGAGACTTTAGCGCCAGTGTCCTCAACAAAAATCCGTGACTTTGTGGAGCTGGTGCAAACTAATCCCTAAAAATTACGAAACCATAACCACAAAACTCCAATTCCTTTTGCATCCTCGTGCCAACATGGCCCGGTGGAAGTCCTCCGGACTCAAAGCCCCCAACAAAACCTCACTCCCTAAGCCTAGAACCCTAAACCTTTAAGCCGGAAAACCCCCAAACCTTGAAGCAATCCTTGAAGGAACCCTAAACCCTAGTACAGCTCACTGTGAGGCTCGGCTCGATATAGGCCGGCTCATGCAGCGGTCGTCGCTCTGCCAGCGCAGGGGCACTTAGGCCGGGGGGGAGGGGGGGGGGTAGATTTTCGCACGATGGTAAAGTGCTTGGGTAATATGGGAATATCCAGTGTATTCATTCAGGGACTAGTAGGTTTGGAGGTATACTGTAGCAAACTTCAGTATGTCGGGCCCTCAATGCTTAGAATAGGGTGTTGGGGTTTACTGAAGTATGAGTATTTATAGGGACTAGAAGGGGATGAGATTACTACCCATCGGCCCTCAAGTAGTTCCTTTTGGGGGTTCATATATAGAATCCCATGAGGTAGCCCCAAAAAGGAACCCTACGGGTCCAAGTACCTAATAATCATATACTCTCCCAAATATTAACCTAAATAACTACTATCCGCAACCAAAGTACCTGATTATTGGGTCCTTTGGACCCTTAGGGGAACTACTATGGAGCCCATGGGTAATTCGTCTGACCAATGTATTGCAGCTTTGGAGCTCACGGGTGTTAGGGCTTCGGGTCTCGCGCTTTGCGAGGGGTGAGGGTCTAATGACTGAGAACGGTTTAGGGGGTTTAGCGTTTAGCGTTTAGGGGTTTAGGGTTTAGGGTTTAGCGTTTAGGGTTTAGGGTAGGGTTTAGGGCCACAACCAGTCGAGGACGCTTGGCTCCCTGGACGATGAGGGCATGCTGACGAACCTAGGTCGAAAG